CGTATTCAGCATGTTTTTCGCATATATGGTCCTTGCCAAAGCCAAAACGGGTGCACGTACATACTTAGTACCAATAGATCCGTACACACCAGATCTGCTTATCCAGCTAGATTGCAAGTAAACCATATCCAGGCTAAGTGCCCAATTACTCAAATAACTTTTGGCAACTCTTTCAAATGTTTTCATCGGAATCCCCACCCAACTGTGGTAATGAAAATGACGTGAAAATGAATTCCACTCCCGGATTTCGTTTCGGTCATGACGTGACTCTGTTCGCTGATTGCTCAGCAACCCTTTCTGCCTGGTGTTCAGCAGGCTCCAAGACGAAAACCTCCCATGGCCTGGCGGAGTCCATGGATAGTAAGCAAAAAATAGCAAAAACCATTGAAGTACAGGCAAACCAAATTATACGACTGCAAACAAAAGAACATAGTTACGATATATATATTCAAAATATTATCTATTTATATATTAGTTAGCACTCAAGAGACCTCCACTTCTGTTTCATGCTGTTTCAAGCAACGAGCGGGATGCTATGGCCACTTTGGCCCTTTGCGCCTGGTGGCTACAAGGAGGGCCAAGCTTACCTAGGCATCTTTCAGTGTAGAGACATGTAGAGACACTGATACAAGAGATGCTCCGCGGATGCGGTCTTTCGGTTAAGTTGTAGTGTGAGAGCTCCTCGTTTCATGAGTAGGGATCTTACTGATTTGTGTTTCCCGTGTTGTTGTGGTCTGGGCAACAGCCATTAACACACCTATATACACACCAAACAACCATTCTGGGGTTCGGCATCATTGGCCCTCTTTGTTCAGAGAGGAGTCCAAACCGTATAATTTTGAAGACATATGTCATATGTCAAGGTCTCCCCGCATTTCAAGTGGCCAGTTTCTTTGTTGCACAAAATACATGTTGCTGGCATTACTCCGGGGAAATCTTCCATAGAACACGGGTCTCGAAGTTAGTGCTCATTAACATGGCACACCTGCAACGGTGACCTCCTGCGGAAATAGAAAAGCACCGGTTGAGACTATGTGGTTGAGGCTATGTGGTTTTTGGAGACTAACATAGAACACTCTCAAGTAAGCATGGCTAGTTTCTGCAGCGGAACCGCAGATGCTAACATAGAATATGCCTGATGGCCAACAAGCAGCTATGTGTTTGATCCACCTTACCCAGATTTCTCCGGTTTGTTTCCACAGCTTTTCAATACTAACATAGATCCAAATCTTAAGGACACGCACTAGCCAAAAGCAGCCACACTAACACGGCACAAGGATTTGTTTCTTTTTTTAAAAGAGATGTTAGATTTCACCGGTGTATCTCATTCCACTGTCACGCTCCGTGAGAAAATCGACCTTCCAATGCCCTCAGAATCTAGCAACAGGAAACAGTAACACAATGGGAGAGTTCAAAGAGTAACGGGACATCTCCCCATCTCAACAGCCGACTTCCTGCCAGTCCAAAACATCTGTTGTGTGCCCATCATTCGTGATAATTCTATGCACTCCAAGTGGCGAAACCGAAGCGCCTGGCATCCGGTGCTTTATTTGTCCCGGGGGCTTTGCCAACATGGGTGGCAGCTAGCCCACAATGATGTGATGGATTTTTGGCCATACACCGTAGCCGTATAGTACCCGTTTGTTGACTTTCTGGCCTACGTATGATACCTTCTTCTCTTCAAAAAAAATATATTATAATATGTAATATCCACCTGCTATCTTTCCTTGGAATCTTAGCAAGCACGAAATTAGGGAACAGCTGTTGGGACAAAGTGAGTTGGGGGTATGATCAGTGGATGTAAAAGAGATCACGGCGTGTTCTTTTTTCCTGACTCAAGACAGTGAGATGATAAGCCCCAAGTAGACATGTCAACTGTCTGGAGATGAAATGCGTGGGTTGTGAAGTTCCTGAAAATTGAAGAAACAAAGAAACAGTTCTATTGCGAAACAGCACAATACATACAGTAACAGTTTTTGACAAAATGACATTGGCACCTGCAGCTAAAACGAGCTGTGACGGGCATAAGTACCCCGGTGTCTGTTTGATTTCCACAGTGTCTTCTCTTTTGACTTCTACATATCCATCCGGTCAGGTCCAACCTGGCAGGTGATCGCATGATGCCCACAGTGTAAACTCAACAAAGTATTAAACTTATATAAACACTCTCACATTCTGAACTGGCAGGATACATGTTCGTGATGCTCAAACTTGTGTAAGCGACAGTGCAGTGGAACCAGGCTGTGTTGCATTAGGTTTTCAGCTTCAACTGCCTGGCTAAGGCTGCACTCAATCTATTCTTGACGTCCCATGCTGATTGAGCCAACAGCTGCCAAACTAAAGAACCACTTTCTTGCGCCATGGGCACACCAAAAAATGGATGGTGTGCATCTTGATATTAATATGGACTTGCGTGGTTCAAAGCCGTCGTTCCTCAAGTACGCGTCTCAGCACATGTAACCTGGCTGAAAGAATGTTAAGGTGGGAGACTCCGATGGAATGAACTTGGTTCACAATGGACCGCAAGCTCCATAAGCAACTGAGAGTGGGATGCAGTCGGATCCCATTTACCCATACGTAGAGGGAGCAAGTGTATCCACACAGAATTCTCAATTGCGATGATACTAAAAAGTCAAAAACTGTTAAGCCAGTCTACAACCACCTACCAAGTCAATACTCCCCAAACCACTGTAGCTATTGCCGCTTCACTGGTCCCCTCACAACATTCAAGACGTCAAGGCTCCTCGTCCAACAGCCGCTTACAAAATGCTGTGCCCAGGGTTGGCCCGGCACAGAGCCAGCAAAACACACCTTCATACCACAAAAAGTAAAGCAGGGAATGAGGCACCCAAAAAAACATGCCAACATGGCATTGTTCTTAATTCAAAAATAATTGGTAAGTTCGGAAACTAACAGTTGCGGTCTTCACAAACAGTATTTATTTGTGATGGTAAACTACTGCAGCTCTCATTGCCCTATGGAGACATCAAACGCGCAGGGGCGTTTGATATTCGCAAATAAATAGAGTAACCTTGTAATGTAGGCTGTGTTTGTCCTGACCCTGGTGACGTATTTGAGTTTACTTGCTCCGGCACTGTTCCGGTTTATTGTTTGTGGGATGCTTTTAGATGCTCTGCGCCTAATCTTCGGGGCAAGAACAGGAAGAACGTAGAAGATTCCTCAATTTGCAACAGCTAAGTTTATCCTCCTGCCGGTAATGTTGGATCCTGATTACTAAATGGGCCCTCCATAATCAATAATGTTAATTGTTCAAGCAATTCAGGCATCCATGTTTGTTTTAAGGGCCCTCTATAATGGCAATGTGTTTTTTGGTTCCTAATCTGTTGTTATCTGAAAATGAACCCTGTCCACCTGCACTCCCGCCTCCGTTCCGAAGCAAGCAACACAATAAAACAACAATAAAATACATTAACAAACAACAACAACAATCCTGTCCTGAGATTAATACTACTAAAACAATTGTAGTTTAGTAATTTGTAACTAAAGATGTCCCTAGCTCTTCTTCAATACTGACAGTTTCCCCAAGCCAGCCACCAATTCCTTTATCAATCCGTGAAGGTTGCTCCTAAACTAAGGTAGTTTACCAGAAAGGCACCAAATCCGGAACAACAGATTTGTCTAATGGGTTCCCAATTGTGAAAAGATTTCTCACCACGGACAATAAATCCTTTCCTGAGATCACTACTACGTCAATGGCTGGATTGCTGAGATCCCTTACTTAGCTCCTGGGGCCAATGGTGGTGAGATCAAACAGCAGCAAAAAGAATACTGATCAGGATCCAACATTACTTGTCAGTCATCTCATCCATGGCCACGGGTCCCACGATGGTTGCAACGCACTTGTCGGAAGTGTCGGAGTTGTTTCTTCATATTTCCTGGGTGTGTGCTAAAGATGTACGTCAGTGTACATTCACTGTTTCTTCCAAAACCCTGCACCCTTGGAGATCTCCAGTTCAGGCTACCAGTGAGAAGTCCTCCACCACTGGGAGGATTTCAGATCATTCCTGTCGACCATTCGTCAAAAAAATCCAGAAACCAAATAGCCAGTGGCGATAACCAAGTGCCGGTGGCGAAAGCCCATGATGGGCTGCAAATGGTTGTCTGGAGATGTTAGCAGGGAGCCAGCGGATGGACAAACAGCTGTTGTTACCTCACCCTGCGGGGCTCTGTTTGGAGCCACCCCTAAATCCGGATCAACGGCAATATTGGTAACATTGGTGTTGGTGCTTGTTTCCTGGAGATTAGGGTGGCACATGGCCGAAAGTTCCAAATTTCACATCAGTGAAAAGGCCTCAGTGATCGCACATGTGCGCAACCAAGGGTTCCCGACGTCGACCGTACGGCTTGAACGTTCAACAGTTTGTCGGCCAAGGCCATGGGGGAACCCAATAGGCGGTTCCACCACATCCGGGCCAGAAGACCACAAATCAATCCCAGCAAAAAAAGCACTAAACCGAGGTTCAGAAAGAAGAGAAAACGAGATCTGGTAGGAGCTGCCAGACTTGTAGATAGCTTGAAGGATCAAATATGCAACTAATGATAGTTACCGTACTGGACAGGAATAAAGACCATCCTCACATCCTATATATATATAACACTTTAACTTCCTAACCGGTATGTTTTGTGAGAGCTGAATGCTGAAACTGAACGTTCAATGACTGTGCATAAGGGCCTAAAAAGGTAAAAGAGTGGTTCTTACTCAGTTGTTGTGTCATCTTGAGCGCCCTGGTGGCGAGAACGTTACCAGTGGCTGGGACCACATTACCACGGGACCACGAACCAAACCGGGCCGCTTCATCCTCTTTTCCGTCCGAGTCCGGTATGCGCAAGAGATTGAATTTGTTTGAAGTACATGATGTTCCTGTCAAGAACTCTGGCAGTGACCTCTGGTAGTTTGGGCGCAGTTCAATTGTATTGCCAGGGTCTCCTCTGCCTTGCCTTGTGTCAATGGGTTTTCAGAGTGTTCGAATCTTGTTCCTGCTTCATTGTCACAGTCTTTGGCGCAACGGACACCAGTGCCAGGCACCAGCCCCACATGTGGCATCCGACTGACATGGAAATTGAAAAAAAAATGGTGGATCGAAACTGCTGTGGTTTGCATTAGGTACACTTCCCAAACAACGTCTGTCCAAGCTGTTTTGATCCATACCCCTTAAACAATTCGAAGGCCTTATCGGGCTATGCCTTTCAGTTTACATTCGTGGTGAAGGAGCTTGCTTGCCAATGGCGATATCCAGCATTTCTCCCACCGACTTCGACCTTGGTCATTGGTCAAATCGAGACAACACCATTTGTCAAATCGGGAAAAGCATCTTCTAGCCACCCTTGCGTGTTCCATCTGTTCAACTGAGGCAGACCGACTGCACACAATTCAAACCGAAACAAACTTGTGCAAAGCTGTCAACCTGCCACATTACTAGCTATGTCATGAACATTGTGGTGCGGTGCGACAATGCTTTCTGGGTGGGGTGCTTGTAAACCTCAATCTGTGTTGCCCAAGAAATTAAGATGTAAGGTGTCTGACATGGCCATTAAGTTCAAGTGTTATGCTTGAGTCACGGCAAAAATAGATTATGTCCTACGGTCACCGAGCCTCTCAATCAGGGTTGGATTCTCTATCGATCATGAATCATCGCCCACCCATCGGACACAGGACTCTGGACCTTGCACACACACACTTCGGAAGTTAACAAGGGATATTTGATGCCATGAAGCACATGGCCTCAAGCAGCCATCAAGCTGGTTCTTCTTGCATCACGACTACCCGAACTATAGGTTGGCTCTGCTGACGATGCACTTGGTTTTCATGTCCTCCTTGGCCTGGACAGGATCGCCACCTCAAACGGGGTCGGGAGGTCCACGAAGGAAGTGAACACGCCATTCATCCATGAGGTTACTTATTTAATATGATGTTTATCTTATTTTGTTGTAAGTGACCATGAGGACTCAAAACTAGCAAAAGCTCCACTTTTAAAATGCTCGAAGTACAGAACCCTCCGAGATCTCTTTGGTGAATCCTTCTAATCATAGACTATTCGACTTGGTTTGACCTCTTGGCACCTGGATCCTTCAAGAAAGAAGGACGCATGGCCTCATCAAACATGTTTCCAGATGAAAGTGATTTCGCCCATCCCTTCGCTGGAGGATGCAGGGTGGGTCCAGGGTGGGTGGAAGAAGTGCCATGGAGTGTTGGTCAGTGACAATCTGCGCACAATCCCAAACGACTGCCCAAACCTGAACTGGTGTATTTCATGCAGCAAACAAAGTACGGTAGATGCAAGTAGGTGCAAGTAACTTAAGAGAAGTTTTGTTGTATATGTCGTATTATATATATATGCCGAATCGAATTTAATGATCCCTTACCTGTCTGGACCAATCACATTGAGGCAAAGACCCAGCACACGAACAACCTGGGGCTGGGCTGAGAGGCGCTCAGCTATAAGGCTGCAGTCCGAGTGACCATTGATTGAATCCTGCGTAATCCTGCTAATAGTGGATTGCCACACAGCAAGGAGAATTAGACACTGCTTCACCAGAATCTGGGGAAAGGGACAAAGGACAAATGCAGGAGCACCAATATCGTTCTTCCGGCTCGGCGTGATGGGTTTCTGAGATCGTCAAAATTTGTATTGTCCACGTTCTTCTGGGCAGCTCATCAAATTTCCTCATGCGGATTCATGGTACTTCATGATCGCATGAACCGGTCCTTGAAGCACTGGCCAACTCGCAGAAAGCTGTGCTCTGAAAACTGTAAAGCACATTGGAAGTGCCTTTGACTGCCCTCTCACCATGTAGGAAGGCCCTCCTCGCTAAATTGATATGATATGGCTGATATGGCTCTTCTTGGATGGTGTTCGTAAAAACTGTGAGTGTCTAGTGTGGGTCCTAGAGGGCGAAAAACTACACGATACTACAAGCATGTACCACACATCTCTTTCCCAGCAAGCTTCCTGCGCAAGATCTTGGGGTCCAACGTCTGCCACATGGTTTGCGAGCTTCTTCTTGTCAGCATCATAGCCAATGTCCACAAATGTCGCCTATGATATGTCCGAAATGACCCTTCCCAGGCAAGAATTGTCAAAGGCAAATGGGAGAGACGACCATAGCAGTTTTCTCTATCCAGAGCCTCAAACTAGATATACATGCCATAGATGGCCGTGTGCTTTTTGTGCCCTTGTATACATGATGTCTTGTCTTCATTATATATTTGCAGGGCCACTGGTGAAAAATTGGAAGGTCTGAAGTGTATGTTTGAACACGGCTCCTGACTGGGGAGAAGAAAAAGTATCCAAAAGGCATTAAATATCTTTAAATTACAGTTCAACACTAGCACTTGACAACCCCTGTAAAGCCTCACTGACACCGTCCAGAAGCCCACAATCATCACGACGTATCCATAACCCATAAGGTCATTACGCCATTGCAATAACGTCGTTACCCCCCCACCCCCCATGTGTGTGTGTGTTTGTCTGTGATGTCATGGTGAAGCACATCTATGTGGAACAAAATGAAGAAGACACCACGGCCATCTATGGCACGTGCTCCAACTACACACGTATCAGCAGGACAGTTAATTGTGAGTGTCTCCAAGCCAGGCTGGGTGAATACTTTCAACGCCTTTCCAACGCAGAGGAGAACTCCGGGCAAGCCAGATTTGGACGGCAAGCACACCCACAAATCTCTTGACCGTGTCTCTTGACCGTGGAAAGCCTGGGCTCATCAAACCAAGATTATACTTGCAACCCACAAAATCCAAGGTGAAATAGCAAATAATGCTTAATGTTCATGGAACTAACCATGCGAAACCCTTCTTTCCCCTCGAAGGCCAACAGCAATCCAGTAGGACACCCCAAATTCATCCAAATTCACATACCCACTAGAGGCACAAGAGTCTGTGCAGAAGAAGCACAGAGGAACCTCATCTCTTGACGCACACCATCCCGCCACCATCTTCACACCTTGATCGTTCCATCCTTTCCGATGATGAAGGTCTTCCGGTCAATGTTGGGACCTTCAAACACCCATATGCTGTGAGCTTGACAAGCTCGTGGCTGAACGTTAATTTCATGCTGATCATGGAGACATGCCAGCTGGTTAGACCCTTGTGATGTCCAATGTTCCCGAGTTTCCAAGGTTCTGCTGGATTTCGGGGACTGAACCCCATCCGATACAGTAACATCAGCTCATGAGCCTGTTGCGCCTACCTGACTTGATGCGAAGCACCTTTTGTTGCACCAACCATGTACAGTATGAATATCCATGAACATAGTGGTCAAAACTCTACAGACATTCGTTTACAGTGATTCTAGGTATTGCTTTAAAGCCAAACTCATACAAGGCTTCTTCGAGTAAGTTCGTGTGAAGTATAGAAAGCAAGAGTGACCAGAAAGTTGCCTGCTGAGGATCTTGATCCACATCATACATTGCAAAGATCCAATAATTCCAGCTGACTCCCGATAATCCAAATGAAGTGCCCGAACCAAGAGAGACATTGCACCAAACCCGCGAGTTCCCCGGGCCTTGCTCCTCCAACTCCAAATAGGTGCCGTAGGCCCTTGCCACACTGCCGTCGTCGCAAAGCAGGGGGAAGTCGAGCTGCAGGGATTGTGCTTGCCTGGAACTCATTGGCTGATAGTGCTCTAAGGCTCGCTAATAAGGCCCTCATTGTCGAAATGGAGTGTTGGATGTCTTATGATGCCTTGAATCTAACTGATGAAGGTCAGTCAACCCTCAGGTCATCCGATGGATAGAACTGCAACCACACCTCATATGAGTTTCATGACCAAAAGACTGGTGCATTTGCTTCTTGTCGTTGTGTTGTCCAGCTACTCCTGCAGATCAATCTTAAATCCAGCCACCCTGCCACCCTCTTCCGTTGCTGAAGCTGTCCTGGCAAGTGCCTCCTTGGGCTCAATCTGAATCTGGCACCGTGAGTGAAGTTTCAAATGGTGTCAATGAGGATCTCAGCATCCGAAGAAACGACGTGCTTTGACAACAAGGTACGTGGTACGTTAACGTTTAATTAATAGAATCCTTTTAAAGGGCACCGCATTTAAGGGGCCCCTATTAAAGAGGGGGCCCTCAACTTCTTTTCCATCATGCCTTTTTCACGTGAAGATCCGTTGAGCAGGAGGGCTGTCCCTTGGGTTGGTGTCATCGTCACTGCGATAAACGAAGCCTGTGCATCGCACTAACTGGTCAGGAGTACTCCCACTACTGTTGCACCGCGCTCGGCCAAGGCCTCAGCACTGAAGCCGAAACAGTGTAGATTCGTCAGCTGTCTCGTTTCTGGTAGAACAGGGTGTATGAAACGAGGTTTCTGACACTATGAGCCCTTTGGGTTTCTCGGCGTTGAAATGATCGGAAGTACCACAAAGAGTGTCATGCAAGCCCACGTGTCAAAGAGTTCAACAATCAATGAGCAACCCGCTGTTTTTATGTTTCCTATGGACCTTGAATCTCAGAGTTCAGAGATATTCAGAGAATATGAACATATATAGTATATCACGTAATCATTAACACACGACATTGCCAAAGGCTTGTCCATACCAAGCATCAGCTTTCTCAGTGGCTGACTCTGGTCGCTTTGCCAAAGAGCTGGCCAGGAGCGACTCCCAAAAACCCACCAGTAAGAGAACTGGGGATTGGATAGGTAGACTCTGGTTGCTTCCAGCATCTTACAGCTGTTTATGTAGGCCCGTAGGCATCCGTAGGCTGTCCTGCGAGACAAGTTTCCAAGGTTTGATGAAGGGAGAGGCAAGGGTCCAGCAGCCCTGACCATCCCTGACAATCAGCCGGTTCCACCCTCACTTCTTGCAAATCGCCGCCTCAGTCATACTTGGGTTTTGCACGGCTCTCTTCACCAACCAAACTCCAAACGGTTCAAAGTCCAGAGCTCCGAACGTAGCGTCCTTTGCTCCTAGTAGTAAGGCCAGGAGCCCCTAGTAGCGTCATTGCTCCTAGTAGCGATGCCCTTCGCTCCTAGATGCTTTTGCAAGCAGCAGTGTTTCAGCATGTTTCTGTTCAAACTAACATTTGGGGATTTGAGCAATGGTCCACGGGTTCCGCAGCCATTTAACGCAGCTCCAATTATGGTCAGGATCCCTCACGTCACGTTTGTTGTTTTCTTTACAAACATTGTCAGGTTGAACATGTGTCTGACTTGTAGCTGTTTGCTTCTGTACGTGAGAGTGGTATCATTCAGGCACATCAGGGCCCAGCACTTTGATCTAAGCAAATACATATTGTTTTTGTCTGGCATGATTCTTGATGATTCCAAGATGATAACAAACAACAGCACATGAGCTGCCAACCAAAACAGTGCTCTCAGAGTTTCAGTACCTCGCCTCTAAACCGGCTGCCCGGCCGGAAGAAGACCACCAAATACCTCTCGCGCTGAAGTCAGAGCTAGGCGACCCTTCTCCATAATGTCTTAATTTATAATGTGTTGAAAGTTGGAATGTAATAATAATCATAATCCAAGGAACTCTCATTCCCAACATACTGTATCAGAGTCATTGTGTCCCTCTCAACACACACTCTGGAGACACATTGACGCAGATTCACACAAGTGCATCGCTACTAGTAACAAGGGCATTACTACTGGTAACAAGGAGCAAGGAGCTACTACTAACAAGTGCGCTACTAGTAGCTTCTTGCTCGTAGTAGCGATGCCCTTTGTTACTAGTAGCGATGCACTTGTTACTTGACTGGTCTCACTCCGACCAGAACAGGTCCTATCCCGTGGAGCCCCCGCGCAGCCCCCGCTGCAGCCCCCGTGCACTCGTTGCCCTTCAGGAGCTCTGCGAGCGTCAACTGGAGCGTCACTTCTCCGGATGCTTATGTGGATCACTGGTGGAAATTCGAGTAGTCATGCCATGCCTCCAAAGAAAGTTCAAACGGGTTGTAGGCAGTTCAGATTGCCTAGTATTTAAGCCATTCAAGCCTGTAGTCAGAGTGGCGAACTTGCGAGGCGGTGTATCAAGTTCGTGAGACATCGAATTACGTTCTTCTTACATTGCCTTGGCCTCAGGTCTGCTCATCAGCGCCAGCAACTTTGGAACACTATATTATATAATATACATAGCATAATTGTAGCTACCAGTACTTCCTGTAACAAAGTGTAGCGTCGAGCAAAAAGTAGCCATTGTGCTCGCCCCTTGGCGCTCGCCTCTCCCCCGGTGCTGGCTGCGAGCTTGAAGTCAGGAGCTGGATCCCCTGGTTGCGCCTGAGCGGTTGTGCTACCAGGCGTGAGCCAAGCGAGCCGAGCTAGCAGGTTGTGCTACATCGCTAACAGGTTGGCTTGTAGCAACCAAAGCTGGGGCTCTGGCCACTCCACGCGCAGTGAACTGCATGGACAGGCCTTGAGGAGCCTCTTGGATGGCACAAAGAGGATGGATTTGGATCAACACCAAACGGTACCAATGAGATACTCCCAATTCATTCTATGCATCTGATCGGGTTTGTTCCACGGCTTTACATTGAGCAAGCTAAATACTATTGCATCGTGCTTAGCCATTTGACAAAGATTTCTGAGCCGATTCCAAGCTGGTTGCCAGCGGTCTGGAGAGGCAAAATTTGGAGACTCGTGAGACCGAAGTGCCAGGAGCCTTTGTTACGTTCGTAGCGAACATTGTTCCTAGTACGGCCAGGAGCCCCGAACATAGCGTCTTTGCTCCTAGCGGCACCTGCTACTAGTAGTTTCTTGCTACTACTAGCGATGCACTTTGTTACTAGTAGCAGAGGTGTGTACATATAACATCGCTGAAAAGATTGCTTCCAGCTTGCCTGCCTTCTTTTTCTCGGTTTCCACCACCATTTTAAATAGAGCGGAGAATGTCAACAAATATAATATATGTATATTATATATATAACAAGAAAAAGCGATTGGACTGATCACATCGAACAGCTGAAGCAAGCTTCAACAGGTGCAAACATAACGTGGATTGTGAAATCCTCATACAGGGGAATGTTAAGCAGTTGTGTACATTGCTCTGCCAATATATCAAGGATTTATATAGTGTCTCATGACCAGGTTCAGAATCTTGCAACAGGAACTTCCCAAATGCATTTCTCGCTAATAAACATGAGAGGAAGATAATATTTCCGCAGAAACTGAACGCCTAAAGTCTTTATCCCAAATGCTTTCCACCCTCGATGTACTGGCTTGAGGGTTGAAGCATGCTTTTCGGGCAGCAGCCAAGGGGCAGGTTGGCCAAAGTACATCGTCCTGGCAAAATAGAACTGGGTTTGCGAGTCACAAACTACTGTCACTCACAAAGATCGAATTTCTTGCATAAACCTCAATGGCAAATATCTAAGCCCAAGGCGCAAAGACCACATATCTAAACATACATAAACATACTGTGTCCAAATCACAAATGATTTTTAAAATCCGCCCACACCGCTTGCGGTGCAGGGCGTGCTAGGGGCGGGTCAAGCTGGAGTCATCGTCAGTCAATCATCACATCGTAATCAGTTCATAGCTCTGCTGGGGGGCGGTGCCTTTCTTTGTTTGGGGGAAAAACGTCTTATGCCTCGAGGGCCATGGGGGAGAGCGTTTTGGAGGTACATTTTTGGACTATTTCTGCAAGAACCCAAACAAGCCAAAAAACGGACACCCACGATGCTGAAAAACCCTCCTGGCCAGCAACGCATAACCAGCATTATTGGAGGTACATTATTGCAAAAAACCCAACGTAGCCTCAACACAGGGTCACCAAACGATCAAGCTAGCCTTGACATGATGTAATGTGGACTAACCAAGCGGGGGCAAGGCCACCAAACGGTCGAACTTGGAGCCTGAATTGGCTTTAACATGGCCACCAAACGAGCGCACTTGTGCGTAACTCAGCCACAACATGGCCATAGACGCTGCGGCAAACAAGCCATCTCTTTGGACACCACTCCCGACCTCCCCTGTCCACTCCAGCAGTCTTTCCCCAGACGACCGAAAAAAAAGAAGGTGTGGGCGGCGGTCGATGCGAAGCGTCAGGAATATATATATATATATGTGATCAAGGTCCCAATTGTCTCCAATTGTTGCTTGCTTGCTGGGTCACTCTTTTCTCGCCAGCGAAACTCTAAACGCAATATGCATGCCAGGACGACGAATTGGCGGCTTCTTTCAAGGCCTGGTCCACATTCTCCATGCGGCGCAGCTCTCCCTCCTTGGTCGAAAAATCCGGAGGGTGTCTTGGGCAAGGTCGTTCTTGCCTTTCGTTTTGTTCATGGATTTCCTGCAACTTACCACAGGGGCAAGGTGATCCATCAGATTCCATCAGAATCTGTTGAACCCTCCACTGTCCGCGGCTCACGCGTGCTGCTCAGTGGCTGAGAAGATGGTCGAGCTGCCCTCCTTCCAGGCGAGAACCTTCAAACGGAAGGTCATTGTGAATACCAGGAATGGTCCATGTACCGACCTATCATATTTAGGCCAGGCCTTGTTTTCTGGTCTAAGCCCAAACAGAGGGTCAAAGTATATTTTTTAGATGAACTGTCAGAAGCACTAATACACACTAATGAGTCACTAACACGACCTCCAGCGAACCAGTAGAACCCTTTCCCAATATAGTAGCTGGCCACTCTTTTGCAAGAGTAAACCTCAATATTTGCTTTGCCACGGACGGCAATTGGATAATTTTACAATCAAAGTAGGGGAGGCTTGTCCAAACTGGTACGCAGGACAAAGTGCCAAACAATTTGCTTGAATCAGATTCTGCCGTTTCTTTGCTTGCTTTCCTTCTCTGTGGACAAAGCTTTACAATCAATGAAGACTGCTGCTCAGGGATCACGCGTCGTGTGGCCCTCTAAAGGAATCTTCTCTGGAGCCTTGAGATGTGCTGTCCAAACCTGCTAGTCCCAGACTCGAGCTACAGTGCACCCATGAACCCAAGAATGTACAAAAAAAGGCTTCTCCACGACAAAGTAATTTCCACATTGTTGGTAAGGAAAAGAACAAATGCCAAGCATGCGCAGAAGCCTCAAATCATTTGAGGGAAGCGATTAAATAGAGGGCTCTGGACTTTGGAGGGCCAAAAATGTGGCACCTCATAAGGTAGTCTGGTCTCGATTCCACCAGACAAACAATGAGGCCCTAGCGACAATCACTGGAAACAGCTAGTAGGCAAGAAGATTTATAGAGCCTGGGAGCAACCGGCACTTGGGATTGCATATGTTTGTGCAAATGCATTTGCAAGCTTGAAACGAAGGCTCTGATGACCAAGTAGCTGATTGCGAAATACAAAAAAACCGTGCAAAATTGTTACGGGCATGTTGTTTGGCATGTGGTCATCGGTCATCAAACGTGGTGTGCTCGTGCAAAGAACAGGTATCTTCTGCTCCCTTCCAAGCCCTTACTTAGGCCCTTCAACTCGACCATCTCCCAATTCTGCCCGCCAGCTCGTCTCCAATGCGCAGGCCCATTCCCTAGGTAGGGTCCACAATCTGCTGAAAATGCTGAAACTGGGTTGTGCATTACCGCCAAGCTTCATGTATCAGCACCACAAACCCAACGACAACCAAAGCAGATTCAAAAGAGCCACTCTAGAAGCTCCTTCATTCACTCACAGGCTACACGATGGGTACAAACTCGCCACTGAGGATGGAACATAAGCTCGACTGCCCGGCTTCACGAAGACCACCTTCGGGTTGTCCCTGCGTAGCAAGTCGCTTGACGTGACACTACAGCAAGATGTCTCAGATCCCAGAAATGGCCAACGCAATTCTATGTATATACTCAGTACAGTGTCTTAATAGGGTCTAAAGAAGAGATGCAAAGAAGAACGTAAAGGCCCCCGATTGAAGTGGTTGTGTCCTCTGCTGTTAAAGACAATATAAACGATGAACTCTCTCTATAATAGCAATTTCATGCTATTGCAATAGTTTCGACAGGCCTCCCTTCTATGTAGCGGAGCGGAATAACATTAGCAAAATGAAACGTACCTTTGTATCTTTGTATAAGCGGTGTGCTCAGAAGAAACAAGCAAGCAAACATGTTGAAGAACATGGTTGCTGAGCCATCAGAATCGTGTCCAACATCCTTTTGATGATATTGGTTCAGGAAGCAAAATCATTTTATATAGGTACAATACCAAAACTATTCATTAGACACGCTTACAAACACACGCTCTGCACCAAAGGGTGTTCAATTCTAGAAAGATTCGGGTCTCGCCCCTGAAAATCACCCGGACCCTGTCTTTTCTGTCACCTGCTTAAAGTGCAGTTCAATAGCACTTGGCGACCCGCACAGCAGTCCGGTACCGAACTCTGCTCCTCCACCACCGAGGTAGAAGTCATCGCCTTGATATCCACAACTTGGCACTATATAAACAAACTGTGAATGGATGTCGCCGCTCTGACACATGTTATTCGTGGTTGCTCTTGTCAAAAGAGGCTTGTGTAGGGTGGGATTTCAGAGCTTACAGTAGTCTTCCAGGACAGGCGGACTGAGGATCCCTGCCAGGGATGGCTCCGGGGTAGGAAACCTGCAGCAAGTGATGGAGTTGGATTCTGGCATCTCAATGTACATATTAAAATAAACCCCTTGAGACCTTTATCATAATTATGATCAACTGCAGTCTAAGTTCCCTAAGCAGCTGTTGGTGCATGAAATTTGACATGCACGCTACCAAGTTGCAACAGGTGTTGAAAGGAATCTCTTCCGAGGATGAGGCATGCAGCCATGCAGTTCAAGCTCCAACGGCCAGAAACAGAAGGCAACTCATGACAGCTTATCGGCCTGGAACGGACCGCCAATTCGGATCAATCCTTCCTGTCCTGGCAATGAACACTGCGCAGGTCCATACATGTTCAGCCACTCCATGGATTCGGCAGCATGTTGACAACTTTATCATGCAATATCATGCAACAACTGAGCTCATGTTGTCTAGGATGTCAACTGCAACTGTGCGAGATCAATTGCACATCAACGACAGGGTCACACACGCTAAGAAGCAAGGTAGCTGTAGTCAGGCCAGGTGAACAGATGAACCAATAGAAACAAATTGATCATTTAGGGCCTTGGTGAGTTTTCCTAATCAGGAAAGGTCATCTTGCCTTTGACCAGCTAATGATGCGCACCTGATTCTTGAGCACGGGCTGCAAACGGCAGCCTAGGCGGGGACTCGTTGCGAACAAAACTCTGGCAGACTCAAGCCCCAGCCGGCTGGCAAAGTGTCGTGCAGGGCTTGGGGACATGCAAGAAAACAAAAACTCAACAACTGAAACGGAACTCTGTTCCGTTGCTTGGCTCAGCAATAATTCGACCTGGGAATCCCTACAAGCCGCCCATGGCTTGCCCTGCTGCGGGCAACATCAGCTGACGCAGGAGCGACCTGAGGATTTGTAGAGAATCCTGTGGGATTGGACAAAAAACGTCTGTCAATCCATCCACAAGATGACTCTTGATCGACCTTTCTCGAGTCCATGACCATCTCACTTCGCGCGACGCGCCTCGCCAGCGGCACATAGCTGGCACCGGGATGAGAGAGCAGCACCTCAAGACCGCTCAGCCAACAGTCGTTGTGCCTTGTTTGGCTGACCCCACTCACATCCTCCACATCCGACACGATGCCGGCCTGGTAACCCTCTCAGACTTTTTCGCACAAGAAATTGCCCCGCAATGCTTCTGTCAGGCTGATTTAGAGCAGTTTCGCTCAAGACAAACAGTTGTTGGATGTTGTTGGGGTCCTGTCAGACTTCTTGTTGAGGATGTGCGCAAGACTGCATGATTTCCAAGACCATGTCTTGTCCAACATAGAAAGGACAAGAACTGTACATGCACTCATAGGGACATGAACTGCAACCTGTTCCGCCACTTATCCTTGGTTCGCAGTGCGTGCTGGCAGAAGAGTATCCGCCCGCACTAGTTAAACTGCTGATAATAATTACTGGGTGTGTCTCTGTGTGTATACATAATATGTATGTGTGTAGGTCAATCACATTCAGCACAGCCAAAGAATAAGAAACCCTGCACAGAAACTACACCGCCTGGCTGACGAGAGGTGCAGCAAGTAGTGCCCAAACGGCCTCTCAAGCATCTCGTTTACGGAGGAACAGGGTTATTCATGGGGCCGTGCTTTCTTGAATGCCTAGTTGCCTAGTTGCCTAGGCCTAGCTTGCATGAAGGGGGCGTTCATCCAGGCCATCCGTATGTACACACCAATACACCCGCGTGGTCCACCTACGCACACGATACCACACTCCGGCCTTCCGATGGACTCTTCGGCCTCAAATGGGCGCCGTGGAACTTCTCCGACCCACACAGGTGTGGACAAACAGAAATCCTCGAAGTTGAAAAACCCAAGCTACTAGGGGCTCCTGGCCATACTACTAGTAACAAGAAGCTATTAGAAACAAGAATAAAATAGAATTGGACTTTAAAGTTAATTACAATTGGAACAAGAAGCTACTAGACTAGGACCTTTTCGCGCTCGCGCGCGAGGGGGGTAGGAGCAAGGATGCGACTAGGGGCTCCTGGCATCGCTACAAGGAGCAAGAAGCTACTAGGGCTCCTGGCCCTACTACTAGGAGCAAGGACGCTACTAGCGGCTCCTGGCC